AAATAAATGCAGGTTGACAACACTCAAATTGATAATACAGAAGCGTAAAAAAAGAACATTTAAATGTATAAAAGTGGATATATACCCTTGGCAAACAAGAATGATATTGCACATACGTTTTGCCTAAATTAAATGTAAACATAAATAGTTGACCTGACTGAATTAGCATCATGATCTAATGCTAAATACAGAACTGTGCCATTAATGTGCAGTTATTTCCCTCTTAATAGCTGGTACACAAAGTTGCCAAAATGTCTGCACCAGTCCATCTTCATGTAATTACACAAGAGCATGACATTCGCAAAGTGACTCTACAAAATGGCATCCCAGGTAACACGGATGACTGGATATCAATATTCAGGCTAAGTTCAACTGCAGACCTAAAGGACAAAGATACGGTGAAAATAATTTACACTGAGCCTGAATTAGTACTTTGAAGATTCTGAAATGTGTTCAATCCCACATTCATTAGATCTGTCTGGTACAGAAGAAGATACTTGCTCATCTGGTTCAAGGGACATGCTTTTGTCTTCACCTTCCGTCTTGAACCCTGGCCTGGGTTTTTTTGACATACCATCTTTTTCTTATGATGTGGAAGTCGTTCTGAAAGCAGGACATAGTGCTTATCTTGCAGATGGCAGCTTCTAAGAAACCCCAGAGCATGAGCACATATACTAGACAGATTAGCAGATGACATATTCAACTACACAGCTAATCCAAGCAGCAGCCAGGTAATGGTACAGTAGCACTGGAGGCTTTAATTCAAAAGTACTCCTGTCTACAAGACACTAGATGGCTGCAGAGTATAAAATAAAAAATGGGCAATTACCCAAATTCAGTAAGCAGGTGAATCTGCTGCCTGAGATGGAAGTCAACACTTTGAAAAGAGAGCAGGAAGTTGTCAGTTTGTGCCCTCAAGTTGAAGATTTTAGCGAGAGGTGGCCTGCTCTGTTCAGTGAACTCCAGTAAGATTTTATTTTTACCAGCTATGGAACTGTCTGCTTTATTACAGGTTTATTCATTTCTTTAGCCAGTTCAGGAGAATCACAACAATCCCCATGGAGGAGACTTTCATGGGGAAGCTGGACTGGTATATGCCGAACCTTGCCTGAGCCACGAGAGTCAAAGGCAGGCTAGCAGGGTCAAAGTTACAACTTCTGTTGGAGACCTTGAATCACGTATATAAAAACAAAGCATGCATATGTATCTGTAATATTCTCTATCAGATAAATGTCATTATAGAGCCAAAATGTTGACAAAAGACAAGATGCAGCCATCCATGTTCACGTCATATGCAACCCGGTTGCTGAAAAAGTTGGGATGCTGTGAAAAACAGAATGCAATGATTTACAAATCATAAAAAAACATATTTATTTGAAAATAGAACAAAACCAACATATCAAATGTTGAAACTGAGAAATTTTATTGTTTTATAATAAATATATGCTCAAATTGAATTTCATGCCAGCAACATGTTTCAAAAAAGTTGGGACAGAGGCATGTTTACCAGTGTGTGGCATCACCTCCTCTTTTAACAACACTCTGTAAATGTTTGGAAACTGAGGGGACCAGTTGCTGGGGTTTTGAAAATGACATATTGTCCCATTCTTGCCTGATATAGGACTTCAACTGCTCAACATTTTAGGGTCTCCTTTGTCGTATTTTTTGTTTCATGATGTGCCAAATGTTTTCAGTGGGTGACAGGTCTAGACTGCAGGCAGGCCAGTCTACGACCCTGACACTTCTACTACGGAGCCATGCTGTAATACACACAGAATGTGGTTTGGCATTGTCTTGCTGAAATATACTCGGCCTTCTCTGAAAAAGATATCTGGATGGCAGCATATGTTGCTTCAAAACCTTTATATATCATTCAGCATTAATGGTGCCTTCCCAGGTTATTGCACCACCATACCATCACAGACGCTGGCTTTTGAACTGTCGGTTGGTAACAAGCTGGATGGTCACTCTCCTCTTTAATCTGGAGAATGTGGCGTCCATAATTTCCAAAAAGAATTAGAAATTTTGATTCATCAGACCACAGTACAGTTTCCCATTTTACCTCAGTCCATCATGAACTTGGGCCCAGAGAAGCCGGCGGTGTTTCTGGATCATATTCAGACATGGTTTCTTTTTTGCATGGTAGAGTTTCATCCTGCTCTGTGAATACAACAACAAACTGTTTTTGGAAGTGTTCCTGAGCCCATGTAATGATTTCCACTGTAGAATTGTGTGTTTTTAATGCAGTGTGAACTGAGCGCCCGAAGATCACAGATATCCAGTATCCTTGTCCCTTGCATACAGAGATTTCTCTAGATTCTCTGAACCGTTTAATGATATTATGTACCGTAGGTGATGAAATTCCCAAAAACTTTGCCATATTACTTTCAGGAACATTATTCTGAAACTGTTGCTTTATTTACCCACATAGTCTTTCACAGAGTGATGAACCTCTCCCCAGCTTCATTGGGAGGTTCTTCTGCAGGGTTACACCAAAAACCTCCAGACAGTAGAATTTCTTAGGAGCAGGTTGAGTAGCTTAAACTAAGAGAACCCAAGTAACTTTCTGTTTTGTCTATGTTTTTGGTATCACTAGGCAGTGCTCTTGAGAAGAATTAAATCCCACTTTTTTTGATGACTCAGTGTTTTATTTTTATTATTTTGTGTCACTAAAGCATCACTAAAGACTTATGAAGGGAGGTGCTAAGTCTTCATTAGGGGGGTCACATTATTAGTGTACATTTATTTGGGGGGAGGCTAAATCCCCTAACGACACTGTGACTGAATATTAGACATGTCTGCATTGAAGTTAAGTGCATAAATTCAGTAGGAAAATGTATATTTCTGACTATCATATTTTAAATTTTATGAATTGCAGAATATTAAATTGGCTGTATTAAGAAACAGACTAGTAACAAGTAAGTAACAATCATGTTTTGGTTAATTATCACAATGCATTTGAACTACAATATTTTTTTAAATCAGAATCAAGACACTGAAATTTAATAATACTTCTGTGAATTTCTGTGAAAGTTTCCTGAACCAAATGTCCCCCACATTGTAATAAAAACCTGTTTTTTATGTTGTTGGGACCATTTTTCAGTCCCCATAAAGATCTGTGAATGCAAACAAAAAAGGAAAAATCTCAAAAGTCTCATATTTATTTTGGTTACTGACGGTTAAGGTTAGGGCTGGGTAGGGGTTCAGGTCATCAGAGGGGATCCTAGGGTCTGTTGGGGCCCCAAGCAAAAATTCACTGGGGGCCCCCCCTGTAACCAGTTTTTGTCATCATTTTAATAAATGATCACCATCTAGTGGCCTGGGGGCCCCAAGCAGCTGCCTGCCCTGCCTGCTGACAAGATGTGCCTCTGAAGGTCATCATGTCATGATTAGAGTTTTCCCCATAGAAATGAATGCAGAGTCCCCACAAAGATATATACACACCTGTGTGTGTGTCTGTATGTGCATATAATGTAGCTTATATGTGTGTGACAGACAGAGAGTAAGAGAAGGAAATTAGTCCACATCTGACGTGTGGCAGGTATAAATGGCTCCTCCATCGGCGCAGCAGCATGCTGCACCTGTCCCTGCACTGACAGCCACGATGAAACTTGCTATGCTAGCTGGACACAACGGCTTTGACACATGCTAGCAATGCCTGTCAGAAGCTAAGAAAGCACTAATTAAAATGATGTGCCTTTACAATGCTTCATGCAAACAATTTAGACAGTATGACAAAAACTTTGATCATAAAAAAATCCTTTTTACCTTGGAAAAGTAGTTTTTGCAGAAGGAATGGTCATATGTGGCTGCCATACAGTATGTGGAGGAGGGGCTAACTGAGTGTGTGCAGTATGAATATCACCACTGTCGCTCATTCCTGCTTTCAGGACTAAGACATGTTGCAAGTGCCCCATGGTGCAGTGGTCGCCAATCTACCCTACATCATTCACACTTCTTGATGTGCAATCACCTTTAAAAAATGAAAGATATTACTTCAGTATACACAGAGCTTATATTATATTACTTATACTTATATTGTCTTAATGCAAATTGTTACCAAAATTTTTTAAGCAAATCCACCATTTTTTGGTGTAAAAATTCTGTCCATAAATGTTTTGAACAATCAGTGACAAAGGGCAGCACTGCCAAAGGCCAACACCCACCGGGAATGAGTCTGACTTACTGCTGACAATGTGAAGCAAACTCTCGCTCCATTTCCACAGGGACCTGATAGCCCGCAACAGCGAACCCCATACCCCATAATTCTGAAGCACCCCCCAGAGAACATGTTCATATGCCTTTTCCAGGTCCACAAAACACATGTAGACTGGCTGGGAAAACTCCCATGAAGCCTCCAGTATCCCTGTGAGGGTGAAATGCTGGTCCAGTATTCCACGAGCAGGACAGAATCTGCATTGTTCCTCCTGGGTCTGAGTCAATAAAAATGACTGTAGTTTCACCTGATTTGTATGTATGATTAGACTCATAGCTTAGCCAAGTCTATAATATAACTGAAGAATCTTTTGAGATTTTTTATCATTATCTGGTTGAAAGTTCTTGTGGAAGTTAATTAGCCTACTTTGCACCTAGGACATGATAAATGTCAACGCATGTATTAATAAAAAGGTGTGTACAATACGAAATGGTATTTTTAATATCTATTTTCTGTGTTTAAGTGTTAAAGAAGACCGAATATAATTCAAGCCATTTGATATAAAAATGTGACTCATTTTAGAGAAATAAGTGAATGATATAGGGACAGAAAAATCACCGTGCTTGTAACATGAACGACCAATATAATTTTGAAAAATTATTATTCTTGTTGTTTTACTACCAGTACTGGGGCTCACTATCCTTGTTGCGCTTTTTAATCCAGTCTGGGTAAAACTGGAGACCTGATTAGTGTTTGCACTGTGTGGCAGCCGTAGACATCTCTTCAGCCATTCACGTCGCTTTTTGAGTCTGTTATATTGGTCATACGGTAACAAGGCGCTCCATCCGCTAACTGTGTTGTACAGCAGCTCCTCGTTTTGTCGCTGTAGATATTCGATCCTCATTTATCTTTTTCATAGCTAAAGAAACGCGATCTTTGCGATCAATCCAGAACAACATTTTGAATGGTAAGGAGTTGAGGGATAAAGTATTTTACTCGTTGAGGGATAAAGTATTTTAATAGTCCTATAAATTACGACATCTGATTAATTTAAATTTTGCAGCCTATAAAAACTGATTTTATTTCTAACAGTGTTGGCGATTAGAGAAGCGGAGCTGGGTCTACGACCTTATATTTTAGACGAATATCAATCTCATTCTGAATGCAGTTTTATTTTAATATTACAGAAACGGAGCATGCATATTTTCTTCTCTTTTGCATTACGGAGCGCTTGTTCAAAATGAGTCGTTCGCAAAACTAGTTTTACACATAAATCCGCCTGTAATTACACAAAACGTTAACAATAGTCATCAATTTAGAAACCGAATAAATCTAACTGAGGCTGCAAAAATATAGCGCATTAAACATATAATAAGCACTTAAATGTGTAAAAGTACTTAATAGTCCGCCGTGCTCATACAGTAAATGCAGCGATTTGTCCTTTAAAAGTAGTTTTCTAAATATGTTTCTTATGCTTCGTCATTCATCAGCAATGGTCTTTGATTTACTTTGTGGAAAATGTTAAAATGAGATGTCAGAAAAGTGGACAGGGTGATTGGGAGTTCAGTGGGTATTCGTCCTTTTCCTCTTAATATCTTTATCCAGGTCTAGAGGAAATTCTGACTGGGAGGGCTGATTTCAGAAGATGGCTCTCCACGTGGAAGGACTTGTGGCTATAGTTATTTTTTATATAGTGATTCTTCTTGTCGGAATATGGGCCGCCTGGAAAAACAAAAAAGCCGGCGACATGGGAGGTGTCGATCGAAGTGAGACCATCATGGTCGGCGGAAGGGACATTGGATTGTTTGTTGGCGGTTTTACTATGACTGGTAAGTGTCACTGGTTTTGAAAGAGTATGACTGCATTGCCACAGGCATCAGATCTCTTTCATCTAAGTATACACGAGTATATCGGTTTTACATTTTTAAGCATAACGCAGCTTGAAAAAAACCTTTACTCGCATGTATTTTTGAAACCCTAGAATTATAAATTTATATGTTAAAGCAGGTGCCGAAATGTTGCGAATTGTATTTTTAAAAAAAACCTCGAAGAAACCCTACAAATATGATTTAAAAATAATAATTTGTGTGAACCGTAAAGCAAGAAACCCGCTCTTATCTCTCTGTTGAAGTTAATGGGAATTACACTAGAAAAGGCTCTGGAAGTACGTTGCTGTGCAGTTTTGTGCTGTGTGGATTTTCGTAGATCTTTTTTAGATTCTAGACACATTATTCTAATGTGTGTCTCATTAGAAATACAGATTATCTGTTTCTTAGCCTTTTCAAATATATCAACATATGAATGTATAAAAGTCAATCATAATGTTAACCTGACTTTATGGCCTTATTTGTATTATTTGTGGCGTATTTGTCAGCAACCTGGGTAGGAGGAGGTTACATCAACGGCACTGCCGAAAATGTTTACTTGCCAGATTCGGGTCTGGCGTGGGCGCAGGCGCCGTTCGGCTATGCTCTTAGTTTGGTGGTGGGTAAGGATGCACATTTTGTTTGCCATACTGAAGTTAGAAATTCCTGTGCAATGTTAACGTGCTTATAACTCACAGAAGAACATTGTAATATATGTGCAGTTAGGAGATGTCAGTAAGATTCATTATTCTGGACTTTAAAAAGTTTGACAAGAAGACTAAATTAAATCCTATTAACTTATAGGCCTATTTACTCAGAATCCCACGTATTGTGGGCAGTCACCAAGGTAGCTAAGCAGGTTCCTCGGACATGCATTGGAATGATTAGGAGGGAGGTTGATTGTCTATTGCTCCGTTTACCAAATGCATGATTTGCCGTCCTCAGGTGGCATGTTCTTTGCCAAACCCATGCGCTCCAAAGGCTACATCACTATGCTGGACCCCTTCCAGCAGCTTTACGGTAAACGGATGGGAGGTCTCCTCTTCATCCCAGCACTGATGGGCGAGATCTTCTGGTCAGCAGCCATCTTATCGGCTTTAGGTGCGAGCAGGGCTGTGATTGTCATTTCTGGGACCCCAAACAATAACTTATTTTTCAGTGCCCTCTGCCCCCCCAGACAATATTGAATGGCCTCCTCTCATTTGTACATTTCTTATGTTCTTATGTTGTGGCCAAGGGGGGTGGGGCAAACCTCAGGGGCCCAATGAAAATGTGTGGTTTGAGTTGTTTTAAAAACCGCTGGGTGCGAGAACCAGAATCTGCTCATTTTCTGATCTCATTTACAGATTATTAAGCCAGGAGACCAGCTATCATATAGTTTATACATACAAACAAATGCTCATTAAAAATGTGTATTAGTTCAGGTTTTATTTATTATTGTTCTACTACATTGTATAATGTTAAGGAGCTGACAAAGGAAATGAGTCTGATGCCATTAACTGCATCTAACAGCTCATTTCTTGGGCAGGTGCAACCCTCAGTGTGATTGTGGACATAAACATCAACATGTCTGTGGTCATCTCTGCCCTCATCGCCATCTTCTACACGCTGGTTGGTGGCCTGTACTCTGTGGCATATACAGATGTAGTCCAGCTGTTCTGCATCTTTATAGGGCTGGTAAGTCCAGCAAGACCCGAATGTCTGATTTTTTTAAAGCACTGTGGTTAAGTTGAATCAGAAGGAGCTAAAATGACACCAGAATTTATTAGATATTTAAGCCCATGAATAATTATGAAGCAAATATGAGTTATCTCTTCTCTTTAACACTTATTTTTAGTGGATCAGTGTGCCATTTGCATTGTCCCACCCCGCTGTGTCAGACATTGGAGTTACTGCTGTGAATAAAGTCTATCAGAGACCCTGGCTGGGCAAAATAGAGGCATCAGATATTTGGATGTGGATTGACAACTTCTGCCTTTTGGTAAGCTGTCACCCAATACTCTATGTAGTTTCTTAGAGAGCAGCGAGAACCATTCACATTATGAAAATCACATACATATCTGTTTATTCACTACATGATAGCGATGAGAAGTCGACATTCAGAGCAATCTCACGTCACCAGTTCATCTAACTACATATTTGTGGACTCCGACAGGAATGTGAAGTACTTTTAGGTACTTGAGCACCTTGCGAACACTGGGATACTATGCAAACTGTACATACACAGAGCCGGAGGCAGGTTCAGGCCCTTCCAGAAGAATTACAATACCATTCAGCTCATAAGACAGTGATTTGTCCCTGTGAACGCTCTGCTTTGTTTTACATGCCTCATGCACTGTACACGGTCAGACTGACTAGGGAGCTGCGTCATTCCTGGCCTGGCGCTGCATCTGCATGTCTGCATCTCCTCCTCTGGGCCTTTTTGTTTCCAGGTGTTGGGGGGCATTCCCTGGCAGGTGTACTTCCAGCGCGTTCTTTCTGCCTCTTCAGCCACATACGCCCAGGTGCTCTCCTTCCTAGCGGCGTTCGGCTGCCTGGTCATGGCCGTGCCTTCGGTCCTGATAGGAGCCATAGGGGCCTCTACGGGTAATCTCACGCGCACCCTCACCCATGCTACAGTATATGCATCAGCTGCGTTTTCTTTGATAAGACTCCAATTAAAACTGTATCCCCCCCCACCACCACCACCACCAATTTTGATGCACTAATGAGATCAGTAATGCATTTTGACAGGCCTGGGATTTTGTTATTTTAAGGACAGAGCCACTTGACCTTTGTTGGGTCATGTTTTTAAGGGCACTAAGTCCACATGCAAGGGCATCAAGCCCATCAAATTTAAAAATATATAATGTATATTTATATTTAATATCATTTGACAGAATGGCTAGACACATTAGTACCTTTTTAATAGACGATGTGATACCTAAAGAACAAGAAAACCACAATTTTCATTCAAGCAGTTTATTACTTAATTTATATTATTGTGACCTGACTTGTGCAAATACAACATAAAACAGACTGCAGACACAGACTACATCATCAGGTCAAATCAATAAGTACAGTGGTACCTCGGTTCTCAAACTTAATCCGTTCCGGACTCCGGATCAAATCCTAAAAAGTTCAAGTTCTGATCAAATTTTTCCCATAAGAAATAATGAAAAACCAAAAACCAGCCCCCCAAAATTACACCTAAATATGTTTGTTTTTTTTT